GGGCTCACGCCTGTCATCCCAGCATTTTGGGAGGCGGAGGCAGGTTGATCACTTGAGTCCACCAGTTTGAGACTAGGGTAGGCAAATTGTGAAGCCCTGTCCTACAAAAAAATGCAGAAAATTAGCTGCCAAGCATGGTGGTATGAACATGTGGTCCCAGCTACTTAGGAGGCTGAGATGGGAGGATCACCAGGGCCTGGGAGGTCGAGGCTGCAGAGTGAACCATGTCTGTGCCACTGCACTACAGCCTGGGCGATAGAGTAAGACCGTCTCAAGAAAAACAGACAAAACAAGACAAAGCATCAAATGCCCCAGGGTTGGGGAACTGCAGGTAGTTCCATAGGCTGGACTGTATATACTCTTGAGAAGATAGTAGGCAGGAGCTATATTCTGAAGAGCCTCCTAAGCCTTGTTAGGTAAGGGTTTGCAGTTTATTCTGAGGGCACTGAGGCCCTTGAACTCTAGGGATCTGTGTGGCAAGATGTAGGTATGTGGGTATAATTATGAGATGTAATTAGGAAGCAGACTCAGTAATTTATTAAATTTGGAAGATGAGAGAGAAAAGAAGTCTGGCTCTTACTTTTAGGCCTCTTTGAAAAAAAAGGATGCCGAAACGACTGGATCCCAAGATTGCCACTTTAGTCTTATGCCGTCAATAGAATCTGAACTCATTGAGGGCAGACTGTGTGTATCCCCCAAGGCATGTAACAGCAGTTAGTGGCAGAAAGTTTAGTAGAAAGGATGAAAATCTAAATTGACTTTTGATGTTTTCATGTGACCAGTTGGACTTGTAATGATGATAGGCTATTTGAAAAGATTCAATAGGTTGCTAAAAATCTAGAACTGTAGCTCAGTAGAAGGAAGGGTATTGACTAGAGCTACAGATTTGGAAATTATTCAGATACAGATAATAGTTATTAGTGGCTAATCTCTTTAAAACAGACTGTTGAGAGAGCAGAAGGAATACCCCAGCTCAACTCTTTTTTTTTTTTTTTTTTTTTCTGTTCAAAGGGAGGAAATTAAACTTCTGAGGAAAACAGAAAGACTAGCCAGACAGGTAGGGAGAAAATCAGAAAAGCTGAATGTCTTGAAAGGCAAGGGGAAAGAACTTTTCAGTAAAAGAGATTGTCATTAATTTCAAGTGTAATTTGATAGTACAATGAGTGTGAAAAAAGAAAAAGTCATAGAATTTGCAGACTAAGAGATTGTTCCTTAGTGACTTTGGAAAAGATGATCTCCTCTTGGAAGGCTGTGGCAGAAACTAACATGGAGTTAGGAGTTGAGTAGAATGGGGAGAAATGAAGACCGTGACTGTAGATAATGCTTCTGAACAAGTTTGGTGATGAAAGAAGTGATTATATTATAATTAACATATTATGAAGGATAAAAGAAGAGTTTTTTTCCCCATTTTAATCTTCATGGAAGACCACCAAAGTATAATGAGAGAGAGGAAAATGAAACTTATATATGAAAATTCACACTTACCTAAAATACTGTATAATGACAACAATAATTTATAAAGAATTTACAGTGGATTTTGAGCATTGTAATAAACCCAGTCAGGCTATTAGCTAAAGATTTATGAGATAGCCTAGGATAACCAGCTTTAGATGATATATCTATACAGTAAGGAGGTTTTAAAGGAATTCGTGTTTCTAGAGGCAAGAAAATGCTTTATATTGAATTGGAAGGACAGCCATACATGGAGTGCGTCGCCAATTCCCATAGATAAGCACTGGTAGAACTGTTTTTAATTTTGTATAGTTGACTTATTTCAGATTTTACTGATTTTTACAGAGAAATAATTTTTCTGTTAAGTATCTGAATTTACAGAATTGGCTATAGACTTTAATCTGTTTTCATTTTTATCCTTTGGCCAAGTCTTTATTACAAGTGTATGTACATACACATTATTATAATGAAAGTCAATGTAAAGATTTAATAGCATTATGTTTTACAGCAAGTGTTTTCAGAATTTATGTGTATATGAATATATAGAGGTTTTTTTGAGGTCCACTTACACCCATGTTCACTACAGTTGCCAGAAAATGGCAGTAATGAGAATTCAGTTCTTTAAGATACTGTACATTTAAATTGAGGTATATTATTTCCATTATTAGCAGTGTTATTATAAAGTATTATTTTCTCCTTTTAGATGTGTTGATCTCTTTGAGTCTGTCATTAGAATAGTTAGGAACTGCAAAAGACTCTATTTTGCACTTTTATAAAAAGAAAAAGAGATGAGAGAAAAAATTCTTGTGTAGGCAAGATAATCTAAGAGGAACAGTGTCATTGGAGTCTTTTCTGATGTGAAGAAAATTAAGAATTTCTGTTCTGGCTGTCACTCCCTGTAAAATCCAAAGGAAACTCTGGTGCAGTACTACCTGCTCATTTATTTTGTGGCTGTGTAAATAATGCTGCCTTTTAAGCTGCCTTCCCTTTGCTCCTGTTCTGTATGTCTTTTCAGCAGTTTGGCTTCAGTGTTAAGGGATTGTTTTATTTTAGTTTTTGGTAATTAGTCCTTTAAGATAAAAATTACAGTAATTTCATTTTTCCTTTAAGTAATTGTTTTTCATAATCTATTCTGAGTCAAGGAAAGAATTAGTTAAGAGAAAATCTTTGAAAAGTGAAAAAAGTTACCCAGGCAACCTGTATATGTTACCAGTGTGCTGATTAATCATCTTCAGCATTAATCACTGTCATCAGTTATCCCAGGAAGATGATTGCTGAACAGTCTACACTATTATCATTCCATCATTTTTCTACAGGTCAATTTAGTACAAAGATTTATTGTACACAGTCATGAGGATTACAACATCAAACCTAAATAGAGAGGTGGTACTTTTATAATACAGAAAATCATGACTTTTCTTTTTGCATTCCTCATTTACTTGATTTATTGATTTGATAAAGTCCTGTTTTACAATGAATAAATGTTTCACAAAGATGTGTTTTGAATAAAGAAGGGTTGGTGTTTGACTACAGTTTGTTGATTAACTAGTTTTTTCATTTGTACTGGGTGAAGGTGGAAGAAAGCCAAGTGTTTTATATTTGTAGGTAAAGTAATCAGCTCAATATATTTTTTGCCACAGTTTCAACACATTAAATTTAGTACATGACTATTTATGTATGTAATATGTATATATGCACTGATAATTTCTACTATGCTCGATCATTGTACATTATCTTCCTTGAAGTTGCCTATGTCCTTAGGGGTTTTTTGGTTGCTATTGTTAGAGTAATCTTAATATTGTTTATTATCTACTCCAGAATATTCAGAATTGTGTACACTAAATTTGTATTAAATATCAGTAATTTCCTCCCCAAAAGCAGTGCTCATTTTAGTTGTCTTAATTTTAATAGAAATCTTAATTGCTATAGGCACTATATGTTATACTATTATTTTCCAACATTTATTTAGGAATGCTGAATCAGAGCATTAGTAATAAAGGCGTTATGCTGCAGAACTTCAATTACAATAATTTTGAGTCTTTATGTAAAAGCACACCAACACACCAGTGTTGAACTCCTTGTTCCATATTTTAAAAATAGTAATTTTCAACTACAAAACATTTATTTTTTTTGTAAATGGCATTTCTATGATCTTATGTTGAACCAGGTTTCTAATACTCTTGTAAATAAGTTATTCTTGAATATGGCCACATTTTATTTTATTTTATTTTTTATTCAAAGAAAGAAAGAGAAAGAGAAGAATATGGCCACATTTTAGATGTCATTTATTTTTACTATATCCATTAAGTAACTATTGTAATAATTTTGGTTAATTTGGTTCAAATGGGAATTGGAACTAGCATCTTTTGTCTTTGTAGGCTAAGGAAAAAGGAAGGAAATTCTCTGTTGTGCTTGAAAATTAAATTACAGGTCTTTGTTTTCTAGACCTGTTACATTTCTCAGTATTAAAAACAATACAGTAAGTATAGTGGAACCAAACTTTGCAGTCACGTTGCTCTTTAGGAGAGCAAATTATTTCAGGATGAAAGACCCCAATAAAAATTAGGTGGATACTACCTATTTTTAAGCTAGCCCAATAACATAGTTCTGTTTGATAAGTAATTGATTAGGTCAGACTATTAATCCATTTAATCTGGAATGTACATTGTGAGTGATAAAAGGAATCCAACTGTGAATTTGAGTGTATTAAATAATCTTCAGGAAGTTCCACAAAGAACATTTGAATGCCTTAAAACTTGCAATAATGCATGTTTGTTCCAAACACATTTGCTTTGCCTAGGTTTTACCCTTCAGGTTGAAGAAATGCTAATCTTGTTCCATTCAGCAGCTGGGTTTTTGCAATATCTTTTCCTTCTCCTAGGGGTTAATTAGCCTTCTTTCAAAATGTGGCCTATTTAGCTGGAGATTCGCATGATTCAGCCAGAGCTGGCTGTACAAAGCAGAACCGTTAACAGGCGGGTGTGTCCAACTGCCTAATTAGCCAGAATAAAAAGGTCCTTTGTCAAACAAGCATCTGTTGCTCATGACACACCTGACAGCCACATTAGGCGAGGATGACTAGACTGAAATTGTGCATGTCTCTCCTGTAAGAATATACAACTCATTTACATATGGGCGGCATCATTGACAAACTGCAGGGGTTTATTTAGCTTATCAGAATGGGGTAATGTGAAGGCATTTGTGACTGATAAATAAATATCACTTGAAAGGAGGCTGTGAAGGAACTAAACTAACCAAATTACTCCCAAACATAAACAAAACACAACACCAGAAACCACTGCCTGATGAATGGGAACACCTCAAATGTACTCATAAGCTATTATGCTGGGAGTAAAACAAAACCTAAAATGGAACATGCTAGGACACTGCTCTCGTGTGATGATCCTTGCTTTGCAGAAATGTTGGAAGGCTACCAGAATACTATGAATGTGTCAGTGGGCTTAAATGATCTGTTTAGCAAAATTTGGCAGGAGGGTTGTACTCCTCAAACATGCTTTAATATTTTAATTGATCTGCTGTTTTATCAGGTCTTCAGAATTAATAGTAAAAATGCCTCTGGAAAAATACATGCTAATTGGCCTCAGTTGAAAAAGAAGAAATACTTCCTAACTTTGGTATCAGAAAAAGGGTATGTCTTCTATTATTATTGGAAGTGTAGACCATATAATATGGATTTAGAACCTCAAAGATCGCTGTCCAGACCAACAATTTCTAGCTTTTCATTCGAAGCCCTATTGTCATGATATTGCAAAGCAGTCTATGTAGTGGTTGACATCACGCACTTTAGAGTCAGACAGACATCAAGTGAATTCAGGCTTTCTCTCTTACTAGTTGTATGGCTCTGGGGGAGTTATTTAACTCCTTTGTGCCTCTGTTTCTTTATTTGTTACATGAGGATAACACGTCCATTGGGGATTCTTCTTTTGAAGATTGAACTAGAAAATGTATTTAAAGCACTTAGTCTAGTGCCTGGCACCAGAAAAGACTTTATTAAATGAGAGGCCCAATTATGATCTTATCAGTCAATCTGTGGAAGAGATGCGATATCAACCTATAATATCATAAAGGTTGGCAAAGAGAGCCTCCTTCTCAAGGCCAAAGATAGTGAAATCAGAGTCAAATGAGATTGTTTCTATGAAGGAAAATGGAGACACAAAAGAGAGGCTAAGTTTTTATCAACTGGCGTAACCCTGTAGTCCAGGAGCCTAGTAGATCAGACCTATGAGCAGTAATTTGGGAACCAACAGAAAATAACACTAGGACTTGGTTGATACTTGGTATTATACTTGTTGTGTAGGACTGGGCTTTATGTAATAGTTTGAATATGGTTTGTAGATAGAGCCAGAGGCTAGGTGGAAAGTTCTCCATGACTTTCTAGTTTTATGTTCTATAACCATTGTTTTTTACCTATCTTATTTCCCCTACTCTAGTCTGTAAAGATTCCTCCTGTTAAATAGTTGACATATTTTTCTTTTTTCCTGTCTCATTCTAAAAATTCATCAGTTTGCTTTTCTTTACTCTCTTTACTTCTCTTTGTGCAGTGTCTATATGGCCTTGGGTAAGTGACATAACATCTTGGGCCTCAGTTAACTCATCTTTAAAATGAGGAAAATTATAGTTTTAATCTAGTGATACATTTCTAGCAGTAAAATGGTTTAAGCTTGCATATTAATTTTCTGTGTAAAATTAGTATAAATGTTATCAATATTGTTTTAAACCCAAAAAGCAAATTTTTACTTTCAGCATTTATTTATAGAAATAGATTTCTGGTTACCCTCAAAAGAGTCACAAACTCAAATGCCTGTAGAGGCCAGGCAATTGAATAGAGTATAGCCATTTAAATAATTTGCCTGTAGAACACATAATATGTGCTCACCTTTTAAAAATTTTCAAATGTTTTTATTTTTTTTATTATTTATTTATTTTTTTTTAAATTTTCATATGTTTTAAGAAATTCTGGAAATTTTTGGGGGGGGTTTGTTTTGTTTTGAGACAGAGTTTTGCTCTAGTTGCCCAGGCTGAAGTACAATGGGCGATCTCAGCTCACTGCCACCTCTGCCTGCCAGGTTGAAGCAATTCTCTTGTCTCACCCTTCCTAGTAGCTGGAATTACAGGTGCCCACTAGCATGCCCAGCTAGTTTTTGTTGTTGTTTTTTAGTAGAGTCAGGGTTTCACCATGTTGGCCTCGCTGGTCTTGAACTCCAGACCTCAGGTGATTCACCCACCTTGGCGTCCCAAAGTGTTGGGATTACAGGCATGACCTACCACACATGGCCTGGAAATTTTTTTTTTAAATACAAAGTTTCTGATTTTTTTAATGTTAGAAATGAAGAATTTTATAATCACTCTGAGTCAAACAAAACCTGAGCTGGAAGTCAAATATAGTCCATAGAAAGCCAGTTTCCAAATCTATGCCTTTTATCTTCTGATATGCTCTTCCAGGTGACTTATTGGGAGTTGTTCAGAATAACTTTAAAGGTAGGTTTAATTTTTAAAGAGAACTGTTATCTTTATGTTCTTTGATGTCTTTAATCTAAAACAGTAGATGTCAAAGTATGGGTCATATGCCAAAAGAGTATGCAGACTAGTCTGCAATACAGTGTATGAGCAAACAAGTTAGCTTCTGGAACGTTCCCAGCCAGCTCTGGGAGAAAGAGGAGGCAGATTTAGTGTGAGTGACATCATTATAAGAAACTCTTCTACTCTTAATTAAGCAGCTTAAAGGAGAAGCTATAACTGGCAATACTGCCTTCCTCATCTGCACCCTAAACTTGACAGAGGCCACCAGCCATCTTGGAGTTGGCAAGAGAGGCTGAAAAAAACCTCACAGAAGATGATATCTAATATTGTCTGGTTCATTCCTTATTCTTTGCAGAAAAGCATTGCCTCCCTCTTACTAATAGTTCCTCTGCTACAGCACAAATGGCATATAAATATATACTAAATCAAAGGACCCTGGCTTTTGCTTTCTTTTTAGAAAAGAGCTTCCCCCCGCGCCCCCCGCCCCCCCGATCTAAGATAGAAGAAAGAGGAAGAGGCACAGATAGGGTTCTTAATGTGTGTGTTCTCTACCCAAATTTTGAGAACTATTGATCTTCAAGTAATACTTATTAGGCAAGTATTTTGTGTAGTAAGAAGTACTATCATTCTTAAAGATTTTTGGTCATTTCTGTGGTCTTAATGCTAGTTCAAAGGGGGTGTGTGTGTGTGTGTATCTGTGTGTGTTTGATCAGTACTACATTTAAATAAATGACCTACTGTTGGTGAGATTTTACATAAAAATTTGGATTTTCAGCTTCTTTTGGAAAATGGAAGTTTCTCTCATACTCACGATATGCTGGAACTGAGCATTAGCTAACCCATCTAGGAGTATTAGCCACTGTCTTTATCACTTTTCTTTTATTTTGTAAACCCCTAGCCACCTTTGCTCTTTGTGCCCAAGGTTCTTCATCTGTAAATGCAGATTATAGTCATACCAACTCAATTGGGTTGTTACATGGATTAATTTTTAAATTAATGAATATATCAAGCATTTAAAAGAATCGTTAGTATATGTCAAACAGTCATTGCTAGTTGTTACTGCTAATTGTTAATACCTTTGATAGGTACAAGTTTATTGTACTGCTTTAGGGTTTGACTAACAAAAGAGTGAGAAAATAATCACCTAAAAAGATGCCAATATCAAAGTCTAGAAAGAAAATTAAGCACAGATTTAGAGTGAGAAAGCCCAGTCCCAAGTATACTCCTGTCACCTCAAACAAACCTCTTTTCTCTGGGATTTAGTTTCCCCATTTTTAAAATAAGAAGAATAGATGTGTTGTCTTCAGAGATCCATTTTTGAAATTGAATATAATTGAAGGTTTTGGGGAAAAAATGAGAAGTCATGCTGTGACAAAAGATGCCAAGAGGGGTTAATTTTCTCCTTGAAAAACTGTGAATACTCTTGCAAAAATTTCTTTGGGAAAATTAATGTTCACTATATTTTGTATAGATTTAAACCATGGTGCAGTATTTTTCTTATGCTACCAATTAAACATTCTCTTGCTCCATTCCCCCAGGAAAGAAAATTAGAAATCTGGTCTTTGCTCAATTGCAAGGAAATTCATTTTTATTTTGTTGAATGTATAAGTAGTAAAAGGGGATGGCAAGGCCAGGAAGCCTGAGAAAGCATGCTTGTTAGAGTAAACAATGCAAAATTTACTCCTATATTAGTAGGTCAGGCAAAACTGAGAAACGTAGCATGTTGAATTGTGAATGAGAGAAAGTAGTTTCATATCTTTGTTTATAAATCTCATTTACATGATGGTGGTCTCCCCATCTTTCAATAATATTAAATATTATTGATTTGTGGCTATCTTTGTATATGACTATAATTGAATTTTGATTTTAGTACCATATTATACTGTACACAAAATTAGTGAACTTGAGCCTTTGGCTAAGTTTAGGGTATATCAGTTGGCTTTTGGATATACTTTGTTTTTGATCACCAAATAGTTTTAAAGTTGAAAAGGACCTTAGAAATGATTTACTCTAAATTACACTCTGATGGCATCCTAACAGCCTATAAAAGTGTCTAGAAAGTAGAATTTATGACATTTACATCGAAGTAGGGTTTGTGTTGAAATTAAGAGCATTTTGACATAATTTTGGATGAGAGTTTATAAAGGGATTTAAACAATTTATAACAGATGAGATAGAAGGTAGCTTTTAATGAAATTTTACCTAGATAGTCTCAGGATAAGAGGTGTAAATGGGAATTTTTTTTAAAGAATGTGGATTAGCAATTTTCTGTATTTATCAAGTAGTCAAAATGACTATAAACATGCATGGACTGTCATGGTAGTATGTTGGGATAAGAGATTATATTATGAGAATTGAAAGTTTCAGCAAAGGATATTAAGAACAATTGTAAGGAAACTAGTCATGCAAGAGTAACATTTTAAACTTTAATTTCATTTTAATCCATTTCAGAGACCATCATGCAGACATCGGAGACTGGATCAGACACAGGTTCAACAGTGACTTTACAGACATCCGTGGCTAGTCAAGCAGCAGTGCCTACACAGGTGGTACAGCAAGTACCAGTACAACAACAGGTAAGGAGCTGCTGCTCTTAGAAAAGATGCTGTTTACTTTCATTATGTTGGCCGTCCAACATACCTATATCCAAAGATTATTTGGACTTTACTTTCTTGCCTCATTAGGTGCTATGATAGGCACAGTTCAGTCTTTAAGTTAATTTAGCAAATGGTTTTTGAGCATTTCTGAGGTTTGCCACGTTTTCTCTGTGCTGGGCTATAGGGATACAAAAATGAATACTCAAGTTATAACATGTATTCTCAAAAAGTCTCTCTTGACTCCTAAAGCAAGTTATTTTTTCTAGCATGACCACCCAAGGTTTTCGCCTCTTCTCCTCTCCCCATTGTATATCACAACTTTCTATTTCTTTCATAATGAAATGTTAGCAATATTATACTTTATTTAATGGGCTCACAGTAGTACTTAATAGGGTGCATGTACCTTCCAGGCAGGGATTTTGCCTTTGTGGTATTTTAGAAAGTGCCTTTGGCACTAGGTGGCTGATAAATACTGTATAATGAAAATAGAATAATATTAAAGGTCTGGAGATCTGACTCATGTCATTTAAAAATCATCATCAGATGTTTATTTACTACAGGTCTCATTCATACGCAGGGCAGTTGGCTCGTTTTGAAAGATACTGACAAAATAATGCTGTCAATGTATGTGGATTGTGAACACACTGGCCTGTCATTTCTTCTCAAGAGTGGTGAGAATATAAGTCAGAAAGATCATATGTCTTATAACATCTTGAGACTCAAGATTAGCCTATAATTTCTTAGTATTAAGGAGAGTTTTTAGCAAACGTTGCTCTTAGAATTATAAGTAAGTGGTTAGAGAGAAGGATATAGATGGGTTATGAAGGATATAGATGGGTTTTAAATGATGAAGGAGGTTTTTATAAATGATAGACACAAGGTTATATTCTTTACAGGATATAGAATTGGGTTGGGCAGCGGATGTGCTGGAATTGTCTTTTTCTTTTGGGGTAAGTAAAGACATCTGAAATAATCGTTTTGTGTTTCTTTTTTAAACATTTTAAAAAAATCTTAGCAAACTCTCCCATACACATATACACATCTTTCTCATCCCTCAAGCTCTCAGTTTATTAGATTGAACTATATAGTTTTGATCTCCAAAAACAGTGTTACATGTTTCAATCTATTGCTTATGTTTCTTTTTTTTCTTTTAAACATATTTTCTGTTTTTTTAAAATTATAGATCCAGAGGATACATGTGCAGGTTTGCTTTATGAATAAATCGCATAATGGTGGGGATTGGGCTTCTAGGGTACAGGTTACCCAAATAGTGAACATTGTACCCAATAGGTAATTTTTCAATACTTATTCCCATCCCACTCTCCGTCCTTATGTCCATATGTACTCATTTGTTTAGCACCCACTTTATTAGATATGTTTTTATCTCTCTCTATATATATGTATCTATATCTATATATATATATATGTATGTATTTTTATCATTAAAAATGAGTCCCCAAAATGGTGATTTAAAAGGCTCTGCTATTATTAATGCTATCACCAGTTTTAAGACTCTGAACATTATTGAGAAAGGGATAGCTTATGTCATGTTATCCAAAAAGCAAATAAAGAAGAATTAGACATTGTTATAACTAACTGTAAAAAGATAACAGTCAGTTATCTTTTTAAAGTTTTCTTTCTATTGAATTTATATATTATTAAATATTTACACCAGGTCTTAATAGGGTATATAATAGTGTACAGAGTCAAAAAAATCCAGCATGATTGGTTATTTTAAAAAAATAGCCTTTAACCTCCCCCATTCTCCCACAAACCACTCTTCATAGGCAACTACATTTACCTCTTTAAACATGTTATTTCGATATTTACCTGCATTTATTTAAAGATAGTATACTTATTTACTGCATCTTGATTTTTAATTTTAAGCATTATGTTAGCATGCCCTTCTTTTGGACCCTAACACACACACACACACACACACACACACACACACACACACACCCTGACCCACCCACCCATCTACCCTTCCTGTTCCTCATGTTCTTGAACATATGTTATATTTTAATTTTAGTAAATCAGTATTCAGTTCTTATACTACCATGATATATAAATGCTGTTCAAATCCAGCCTTGCAGTCAACAGTGATTACCTTTCTGTCCTGTAAAACTCATTTATTTTTCTTAGATTTAATGATTATGTTTCTCCTAGTTTGCAGGATTGCCGTGGACAAGCCAAATACCATTCTGATTTCTGAACTTTTGTATATGGTTTATGTGATTTTTTTATCTGAAACTTTGTAAAGTATTTAAAATTCCAGTTTTATGAAACCTCATGATGATGTGCATTGACACGGGCCCGTTTTCAAATACTGTGCTAGAACCTTGATGTTGGTGCTTTTTCATTTCTGGGAGACTTTATTCAGTTTGTTCATTTATGATTACCTCCCCCTCGGTTTTCTTGTTTTGTTCACTTTCTGGACCTTTTTTGTTCTATTTTCAGTTTTATTGTTTGGCCTTTCTATTTTAATTTCTGATATCACTTTTTTTTTTATTTTCAAGAACTTAAAAAAAAATTCCTGTGTGTTCCTTTTTGTAATATCATGTTTTATTTCATGGGTTTTTTTTTTTTCCTCTCTGAAGACATTAATTTTTTTTAACTTGTTGAGTTTTTTTTTCCCTTTACATAGTCGGTTTCTCTTAAGGTACCCTGTTGTGTTTTCTTTTGTTTTTTAATATGCCTCTGTCTTTTATGTTAAAAGCTTTTCTTTGATGTCTGATAATCTTTGGGTGTTTATCCATATTTTAAAATGTGGGTATAGGAGGCTGAATTGAATGCATGAGTGAGTCTTGTTGACTTTAAAATGGGGGTTATCTGACTGACGAGGCTTTTTAATTAAGACCCCTCTGATGTTTAGTATCTTTGTTTTTTCCTCTTTTGCCGGTCAGATTTTTAAAGAAGATTTGTCTAACTTCCTGCCTAATGGGTGACTGCTTGGCTGCCTGGGAGCTGAGTGGGGGAAAGAGTTGGGTATTTATTGCACAAATTTACTTAACCTTTCTCTTTTTTCTTATGGTATTCCTCAATGCAGAGATTAAACCAAAGGATAAACCTCCAAACATTTTACTAAAGTTAGCGAAGGCCAGTCACCTTACTGCATAGGGGTTGGTAGAGAGAGCCTGATTGCTTCTTAAATAGAATCACATTTTACATTAAATACATATATTAAAAACAAAAAAATTGGATTGCTGCCAGAAGTGGGAAATCAGTATCACTAGCCATAAATAGAAGATTATACATACACACCCTACCCAACCCCCACACTTCATTCTTGACCTGATAAAAAATAATCTTGTGTACACCTCGACCGCACTTTGGAAAAAACATTGTACTGTGCCATATGGCTCACCACCAACAGGCATATTTTTCAGTTCCTCAAGTTCGCTCTTTCCCCTGGGACATTCAAGGCAGGTGATACCTTATATTTCTTCACACCAAGCAAAGAAGGTGAGAACTCTCATTTTCTTTTTGTCAACAAAGTGTTTTATTTCACACAGTTTGTTATTGTGATACTTGCCTGGAGACTCTTGTTATATTGTCCTCCCAGACTTATTTAGAAGGATGTTTTTCTTCTTTGTTGTTATTTTTCTTGTTTCTTTTTTTTCTTTATTAGAATAGTGTTATGTTTGAAGCTCCCCAGTATATTTCAGCTGTGTCCCTGTGGATGTAAATTGTCTATAACTGATAAGATTAGTGCTATAATAATTCCTTATTCCTCTTACATGCCTATAATGTTTGAATTGTTAATGTGCTGCTGTTATCTTGGGTTTCCAAACTCTAGTAAAATGCCTTTAAAAGCTTCTATCTTTTGTTACTGACCCATAATGGATATAGATATCATGATATTGATGTCAAAGGTAGTTACTTCTATTGATTCAACTTTTCATTATAACTTTGCTCTGTCGATTTTGACATAAAAAGAAAGCTTATAGCTAATGTTTTAAAATTTTGAGACATTACATATAGGTTGATGCAAAAGTAATTGTCGTTTTTTCCTTTAATTTTTGCACCAACCTAATATACTGGACTGATTAGTGTATTAGTCCATTTTCATGCTGCTAATAAAGACATACCTGAGACTGGGTAATGTATACAGGAAAAAGGGTTCAATGGACTTACAGTTCCATGTGGCTAGGGAGGCCTCACAATCATGGCAGAAGGCAAGGAGGATCAAGTCATGTCTTACATGGATGGCAGCAAATAAAGAGAGAGAGGTTGTGCAGGAGAACTCCTATTTTTAATACCATCAGATCTCATGATACTTATTCACTATTATGAGAACAGCATGGGAAAGACCCGCCCCCATTAGTCAATTCCCTCTCACCGGGTTCCTCCCGTGACAGTGGGAGTTACAATTCAAAACGAGATTTGGGTGGGGACATAGTCAAACCATATCATTCCACCTCGCCTCCTCCCAAATCTCATGTCCTAAAATTTTAAAACCAATCATGCCTTCCCAACAGTCCCCAAAGTCTTATTTTAGCATTAACTCAAAAGTCCACAGTTCGAAGTCTCATCTGAGACAAGACAAGTACCTTTTGCCTGTGAGCCTGTAAAATCAAAAGCAAGTTAGTTACTTCCTAAATACAGTGGGGGTACAGGCATTGGGTAAATACAGATGCTTCAAATGGAAGAAACTGGCCAAAACAAAGGGGCTACCAGCCCACACAAGTTCAAAATCCAGTGGGGCAGTCAAATCTTAAAGCTCCAAAATAATTTCCTTTGACTCCACGGTATTGGGAAGCTCTGCTGCTGTGGCTTTGCAGGCTACATACAGCCTCCCTCCTGGCTACTTTTACAAACTGGCATTGAGTGTCTGTGGCTTTTCTAGGTTCACAGTTCACCCTGTCAGTGGATCTGTCATTCTGGGGTCTGGAGTACAGTGGCCTCCTATCACAGCTTCACTAGGTGGTGCCCCAGTAGGGACTCTGTGTGGGGGCTCTTACCCCATATTTCCCTTTCACACTGCTGTAGCAGAATTTCTCCATGAGGAAACTTCTGCCTATACATCCAGGTGTTTTCATACATTTTCTGAAATCTAGGCATAGGTTCCCAAACCTCAGTTCTTGACTTCTGTGGGCTCACAGTATGAACACCACATGTAAGTTGCCAAGGCTTGAGGCATGCACCCTCTGAAACAGTGGTCGGAGCTCTGTGTTGGCCCCCTTTCAGCCAAGAATGTCTTGGTGATTAACATTCGGCTCTTCATTACTTAACGCAAATTTCTGCAACTGACTTGACTTTCTCCTCAGAAAATGGGATTTTTTTTCTCTTGCATTATTAGGCTGCAAATTTTCCAAATGGTTATGTTCTGTTTCCCTTTTAAAACTGAATGCTTTTAGCAACACCCGAGAGTCACATCTTGAATGCTCTGCTGCTTAGAAATTTCTTCCACCAGATACCCTAAATTATCTCTCAAGTTCAAAGTTCTATGAATCTCTAGGGCAGGGGTAAAATGCTGCCAGTCTCTGCTGAAACATAATAAGAGTCACCTTTGCTCTGGTTCCCAAGTTTCTCATCTCCATCTGAGACTGCCTCATCCTGGATTTCATTGTCCATATTATTATCAGCATTTTGGTCAAAACCATCAAGTTTCTAGGGAGTTCCAAACTTTCCCACATTTTCCTGACTTCTTTTGAACCCTTCAAACTGTTGCAGCCTCTGTCTGCTATCCAGTTCCAAAGTCACTTCAACATTTTGGGGTATCTTTTCAGCACTGCCCCACTCTACTGGTACCAATTTCCTGTACCTCCACCCCATAATTCAGTTACCTACCCTGAGGTTGCTCCCATGATATGTGGGAATTGTGGGAGTTATAATTCAAGATGAGATTTGGGTGGGGACACAGCATATCATTGAAAAACCAGAAAATTTCAGGTTTCCTCAAAGCCCTAAGGCTTCTAATTTCACTGTATAGTAAGTACCAAATAAA